CTATTAATTGAGAAAATGATAGGCATATTAATCAACAATGAAAATAACTGTTGGTTGCAGTTCAATTCTACATTAAATAACTTTTTAACATGTAGGGAAAGCTAAAGTTGTTGGCATGTTAATGACCATGTGCAGCAGACAGGTGCACATTTAGTGGCAAGACACTGGAAAAAGCAAAACTGGGGTCAAATTCTTTAACTGCAGAAGAAGTAGTATTAAAACAATATTCCCCCCACTGCAAATAACTTACTACAGAGAAATGGAAGTGACCCATACAGTACACTTCATACAGTCAGTAATCTCTTGTAAGCAGATATCCAACAAGAGGTTTCCTTTCTGCCCTTTCCGCATAGATGGAGGGGAAAGCCTGGAAGCGGAGGGTTCACTATAGCCATATCCATAATCTGCCCAGATATAAAAATACACAACAGAATCAAGTATTCCAAACAACATCTGGCCCGCTGCATTTTCACGAGGATAAACAGGTGCAATGCTTTCTCCACGGCAAACTGGTTGTGGTGTAGTGACATTACAGTGAATATGACTATTATCAGATAATGACATTTTTGATTACAAACACTGAAAATCAGAAAATTAAGGGATGTTTTTAAAAGAAAGCAAGTTGAGCTCTTCTTTTGTTTTACCTTCAACATTTTTGTCTCAAATGCACTTATATGTTTTCGACTGTAAGAAACTGATCTGTGAGACTTAAGATAAGAAGACCGAGAGGTATGTTTGTAATCTGCTTGCAGTCTGAGAAGGACATTTGGAACTCATGAGGACATAAATGTTTATTCCCTTTGGTTATGTAAAAGACTCAGATGGAGTGGCCTAATCGTGAAGGGGATCATTGCCCCAGGTTGTCTGTGTGCTGGTGAGTCTGCATGCAATTGCATAAGACTCTTTTCGGACACATGTCCACGTATGCTGCCCCAACTCCAAGGGATTTCTACCCGCCCTGACTAACTGTCTTCATTATTGTAGCATGTGCTTGAATGTTTGTGCTTCAGTCTGTCTACTCTGGGGTTGGACAAATATGACATTTAATATATGATATGAATTTTGTTGCATAATGTTTAAATTGAAACAGAACGGAATCTGTCTCTTCTTAAATGCAAATAAATTATTTAATGTTTCATCACTTTTATGAGATTAATCCCTCATGAAATAATAATGAGGCTTTTTGAATAGCACTTTAGGCTATAGTGAGGCACTACTGGAAAGTGACGAGACGGGTCAGGGCTAGCTGGTTAGCAGCGGAGAGTTAACATTGGTGTTGCTCTCCACCACTGGAGACGGCTGTTGTTGAGTAAAGGAATGAAGTTTGTTGCTGAACTTGCAACATTTCTTCTAGACTGATAAGTAAACAGCTTTTAATGCTAACGCGGATTATGTAGCGATAGCAAAACTTACAAATAGCTCCTTTTCTGTTCAACACACATATATCCAATACAGTATGTGTACATTGTGCATGGATTCATCTGTGTTGCTAAATGTCTATTCTGTAGATGGTGTGTGTTATCCTATTACGGTACCTGTTGATTGGACAGATGTTCTGAAACAGCCAGATGGAGTGTTGATGGCTGCATTTTCAGATAAGCCTTTATGAGCCAATATGTTTTGAGTGTCTCCCTTCATTGTTTTGCGCAATCCAACCTTATTTTCACATCTGTGTATGCGTGATGTTAGACGCATGCCTGTGTCTGCATGCAAACATGTATGCGTTTGTGTGCACTGAAATTGCTGGCGGTTTTGGAACTGTTGTTGATCCTCGCACAATAAAGGCAGCAATGAATACAGCAGCCACCTGTGTGTGTTGGTGTGTGTGTGTGTGTGTGTGTGTGTGTGTGTGTGTGTGTGTGTGTGTGTGTGTGTGTGTGTGTGTGTGTGTGTGTGTGTGTGTGTGTGTGTGTCATCCTATTGTAGAGCAAGCCTATTAGGGCTGTCATGAGTGCTGCATACGGCCCTTTATGCGTCTCTTCTCCCCTGCCAATCTCTAAAGAGGCCAGGAGAATAGATGGCCACCAGCGATAGCCATCAACAAGTAAGAGTTACTTAAAGGAGTGTCAGTGGGGGATCAGTCATAAGGGTTTAATATTAAATGAAGGACAGGCTCGGGTTCTCTCTCCTCTGTGAGGGGAGAACATTAGAGCCTCAATTACTGCTGGGACGGATTATCAGCAATGCATGGCACACAAAACACACAAACAACCAGTAGAATAGAGAATCTCTGCAGTGTTTCCATCCATCTGTGACTGACAAAGGTAACATTTGAATGAGAGGGAGAGACTGATTCGGCTTCTCTTCATGCACAATTTCACACAGACAGCTGAAAAGTGTTAGGTGTACTTGCTATTTTTAATGACTAAACATTAGTCTTAGATGTTTAAATAAATAAACCGTTCGCAAGACAAATGATCTAAAGAACATGTGTTTGTATCATGGATGATTTGGTAGGACTGGGACATTTGAGCGTTTGAAGATAGTTTAAGATTGTTGCCAAAAGTTGCACAGCAGGTCAAACAAAATCATCCGTGTTCTTAGTCAGAGCTGCCAAACTGCTGAGTCATAACCAAAAGGTGGCTCATGACTTCTGTACTGTAACTGTAATCTTTAAGAAAATATATTTTGTACCCATATGTGACCACAACTTATATGTTTCTGCACACAAAAATGCAAATGCAAACAGGACGTAAAAAGATGTCACAGTCAAACTTGTGTTCTTGCAAAATGTCACACAATTTTAAGCCTCATTCGCAAGCATTGTTATATGAAGCACATCTCAAAAATTAAGTTTAAACAATTTAACTTTGCAGGTGGTAACAATCAGTCCTTTATGGACCTACACTATAGGGTATGGCCATAATTACTTATAGGATAATAAACAGGGAAATTAATGTGGATAAACCCACATGGAAACTACCTACTCTGCTGTAGTGGCTACTGTGGTGTTTTTACATGCCAAAATGGTCTTTATATGGTATGTGTCTGTGGTTTGTTGTTTCATTAATAGTTTGTACATAAAAGCATTTTCCTTAAAACTCAGTGACCATGATAAACATCATTTCAGCAAATGCACTGTAGTCCTCTGGCCCTCAGATTATGATTATTTACTACACTGTCCTGAGCCCAGGACACTCAGACACAACACGCTACATGGCATCTGCCTCTCAGTCAATTGATGATATAGTTTAGCATGCATGTGTAACTATAGCAGCAGCAGCAGCAGCAACAATCCTCCTTACACCCTTTTACAGTGAGTTGGTAAGAGGACAGACAGGATGCTGTTTGTGCCGTACGTTTTTACTGAGCCCAAGCTGTATATACTGTAGCCAAAATAAAACAGGCTAATAAAGTCCACTGTGCAGTACAGCTAAATAATTCCTTAAAACACAGAACTTTGTAGCATTCATACTGTCGGAGAGTCAAAATGAACTTCTTTCTAAAAAAAAAATGAAATCTCTTTCAGCTCACTGTATGATGCAGTTGAATGGAAACAGGAGAGTTCATTGGAGGCGTTTCAACTGAACTTCTATTATTATCATTCATATTTTCATCTAATCTGGTCTAAATCCATGGGCTCAGGGTTTACTATGACGTCTGGGACTAAATTGTGGGATACTTGGGAGATCATACAAGATCCTTTAGTCACATGTTAGGGGATATTCTTGGCCTTGAAATTAATTTCTAAGAGTTTTGTTTATATTTTTGCAAAAAGCTAAGCTAACTGCTACAGTGCACTAATCATAACATGGAATTGTTTTTCCCCATTAGACTTAAAATGTATCTCTCTATCATTTTAGTCACCCTAGATACTCATAAGTTATTGAACTGGAAACTCTCAGTTTGAATGAAAGCCTAAACTAGCATAGGGTAGAGTTTAAAGGGTCACTATTTACCTTTGATTTCTCATATTACTTAGATATCAAACAGTTGCTCACTGGGAACAAATTGGTGGGATTTAATCTATGAGCTTTGTATGTTTTTAGCTATTTTCTTATTATTTTTTCAGCTACTTATTTAACATATTTACACTAAATCTTAAATTTTTGTATTGCAGTCTTTACACAAAAGGTGCTGTATAAATAAAGCTAAAGGATTATTTTCCAGAATATTTGACTGTAGTGAACATGGTTTCTACCAGTGATACAATACAATATAGACTTAAATTTATGTATCTAACACGAAAAAAAAAAAAAATTCTCCCATCCAAATTCTGCAGCACAGTCTTTTCCCATCTTTACATCATGCTAAAACACTCCGGCTTTATCACAGTCCGAGCACCAACAAAGGAGAGACAGCGTTCCTAAGTAGCAGTTAATAAAATGATTCATCCAAGTTATGTTTCAGCTGCAGGTCAGTGTGCTCCTCTAGCGGGTCAGCTTAGCAGCATCAAGAAGGAAGCTCCATGTTTCATGCATGAGGTTGCTGAATTGTTGACGGTAAGGAAGAGCAGAGAAGATCGAGCTCATCAAGGCCAGTGGTGTGGTTGAACAGATCACACTGACCCGCTTCTGTTGGGCTATCTTAAAACAACCACAGACAGCCGACAGGCCACAGACACGTCTACTTTTGTTACTGGGAACCAGAACCTAATACTGGAAAGGAGCCGCACTAGATGTAATTAACGAGAGAGGGACTGGAGCAAAGAGACACCGCACAGACCCATGTCGCTTGAGTCAGACACCGAATTTTTAACAGCTTTTTGCACTGGTATAAAAGTTAAGCCTCATTACGATTAGTTTTATTTCATTTCTCAAAGTTTGTACATAACAGGTTTTTGTTTCTTTTTTAATTATGTGCTATAGATTTTATATTGCAGTGTTTTCAGGGAGATTGTTTTCCCTACGCGCACCTGTTATTCTTATAAAATTTATTTATTATAACTGAGTCATTTGAGCTTAATGCAAGCTTGTCAACCTCTATGGTTAGGATATCTACTCATTCTGCCAAACTGACCTGAAGTCTATACTGTACTGTAGAACTAGACAGGTACTCACACAAGGAAGTGGTAGAGGAAGCATTTCAGTCCAGCAGGTCTCTCTAGGAAGTTGTAAACATCCCCCTGCATGCTAGTCTTGATGTAAGGGCTCTGGAAATCCTTGTGGTGATGATGCAGCCAGCTCGAACGAGGGAGAGGTGGTTGGACAGAGGTGATAGAGGGCTGGCTGTGTATCGTCTGCAGCGCTGGGTCCTTTGTGTCTGCTGGCGGACAGCAGGGAATGCCTGATCCATTATTCACCGCTGTGGGGTCCAGTTCCAGTGAAACAGGAGAGTAGTGGCTTCTGTCAGATGCAGGAGCCTGTACAGCAGTGCTGCTGGTTGTAGTGCCAGTGGAGGCTGCAAGGTCAGCATCCATCTCCTGGTCCAAGCTGAGGCTGAGGCTCGTGCTGGCATATCCATTGGGACTGCAACTTATGAAGGAGCTCCCGAGCCTGCTGCCATAGTCGCGCTGCACGTGGCACGTCATGTGGAAGGAGCGCGCCCGTCTTTCCCCCATGTCGCCCCGCAGGATGGTCCAGTTCAGAGAGGGCCAAAGGAGACTTGAAAGTTCTGGAAGGTTCTGGAGATTGTGACCAAGGTCCAGGTAGAGGGGTAGAGCCCAGCAGGATAAGACACCTAGCTAGGCATGGCTACCTACCTGCTGCAGACAAGAGCTCTCTCCGCTGAGCTGCATATGTGTCCTTACCTGCAGTGGAAGAAGTGACATGAGTCATGGAGATAGTATGACCGGAAGAAAGCCTTCCCCTCTACCACCAGTGACCCTGTTAAATTAACATCTCTCATGAAAAACCCAAGACGTGGACATTGTAATGCTTTGTTTGCTGAACCATCATTGCTCTGCTATTACACAAATAATTATGTTGTGTTTTCAAACTGCATTTCTTTTCTTTACAGCAAAAGGTATTTCCACATAATTCTTAATGTTTTAACGTGCATGGAGTGGTAAATGGGTGAAGGTTGCCAAAAAAGACATTCAAAAGTTAAAGGTTTTTGACAGAAAGTGACTTGCTGTCTTCATGAGTTACTTCACAAATGTCATTAGATTAGAATCCCGCAAATACTAAAGGTGCTGTCCTTCAGCATGTTACTTTTGAACTGAAAACATACGTGGATCAAAGACCTGTTGTACTTAGGTCAGTGATGCCAATTAGAGCTTTTCATTGTGTAACAGTCCTACTTCTGACTCTAACCTGTATCTACAGAGTGTATTGCACCATGGTATGTTGCTGAAGCTAAAAGAAGAGAAGGAAAAAAGAGATGATTTCCATTTGTGAGGAAGAAATCATAGTGACATTTCTATGAACTTTTGCAAATGGTTATAGGCTCTGACACTGTGACTTATGACCTGTGAACATAATAAAAGCGTAACAGCCACGTAATATTCCCAGAATAGAATCATATGTGAGTTAATGTGGCAGCAATAGGTCGGCACACAGGTCCATTTCCGACAGCTTTCTCTCTGAGGATTTTCTACTGTAAAAATAGCATCCTGTTGCGTCGTCCTTGTTGGATGTCAAAACCTGCCTAGTTTCCCATATAGGAAGATAAAAAAAAAATGTACATCATGCATTCTGTTTACATTTAGAGAAAATAATCCAGAATTTATACAACCCCACGACACACTTTAAACCACTACAGCTACAATGTGACCTTCCCTACGTTTCACAAAGCATGTCACATCACAGAAGCTTAATCACCGTGCAACCAGACAGAAATTAGACTGATTAAAGCAGTAGATAGTTGGAGCCATGTGAGTAATTGTTTGATCTTTACAGTCACAGTCAGCTCAAGGTTAAAGTCAAGCACTTATTTAAGGATGCACACTAATTCAAGTGTCCACAAAAAACATTACAAGTTAATTATTATGAGCCTAAACTGTCACAACCTCACCTACAAGTGGAATTTTAATAATATGAGTCCATGGGATTATGAGCCATTACTGAGTTCACTAATTAAATGTATACTGACGGAAAGAGGCGAGGATGCACAGCAGATACAGAGAAGAAGGTAGTTTACTGTGCAAATTGTGCAAAGCTGCAAATCAGGCACATCCTAAATATTGGGTGTAATATAAACGACTTACAGTACATCTGCAAATGGCAATGAACTGAGAATGTAACAAAGTCTGGGCAGCATGACAACTTGAAAAAAACATTTTCCATCTGCAATGTCCATATCCATGTCCTTTGGCTTTTAAATTCACTTAATTAGTGTATCAAAGGTAAGTAGTTGGTTTAGTGTCTTCTGTGGAAAGACACCAAGCCAGGTAGTGTGATACATGGCCGGATGTTACCTAAATGGATCGGAAAATAGTCTCATGGGACAAGAGAGGCAGGCTAATTGGAGGCAGCCAGCCCCGTCCATATCTGTCCTCAACTACGGATGGACTGATGACAAGAGCCACATGCGCTGCAGTACCCCCGTAGATAGAGTTTCTACCTTTAAAACCACAGTCATGAGACACACAATGAACTGTCATGTATGCACAGGCTGCTGTGGGACTCTACAGTTACAGCTTATTGTGTGACTTTCCGTTAAACTGAACCGACCCTGGCAGGGGGCCCATAACTCAAATTAAATAACCGCATGTGGGCTAAAATAAATTAAAAACCTTTAGATTGCGTTCCTTAACAAAAAAAAAATCACTTTTCCTCCTTTTCATCTGCTAAACTGAACTCCAGAAATCAGTAAAACAAAACAAAAAAAAAAAAAAAACTGCATGTTTAATGAAGCTGCAAAATTACGCAAATGTTAAGTCAATATTTGCATCAATTAATGCTGTACGCTGCTGTTCACTGTTAGACCTTAAACAACTAAACAAAAAAAATGTATATGTCAAACCACTGTGTCAAATCTTACCTGTCTCCAAAAACACATCTCAAGTTGTTATCGGCGCAAAATAATATGCAATTATCTCTGAAGCCAGGCAACAAGTTCGTTGTTTTTGCTTTTTATGAAAACAAGATCCAGTCATAGGCAAAAGAAAAAACTTAATTACATAAGTTAGAAATTATCTTCCAGCGCTCAAAAACAGGTAACACACAGTGTAAGCACAAGTCTTCAATCGGCTGCTGCCTGCAGGACCTGTCCCTTTGAAGTGCATCGCAGCTTGTGCCTGGACAAATGCTGCGTTCAAGGGTAACGGAAAATTTTTAATCACAACATAAGTAAACAGCAAAGTGGTATCCTGACAATATTCTATTATTGTAGCTACTTAATGTAATGTAATGTACTTGATAGAGTAAACAACACCAAGTAGTTTTATCCCCACCTGAAACCATCTATGTTAGGAAGTTTCTGTACAAGCAGGCTGCTGGAAAATCACAACACAAAAAATAAGACAAACTCCTATGCAGATTTATCCCACATGCAGACTCTGCTCTTTTTAGGCTATAGGTTCAGTTCATGCCATTTTTATCTCTGTAACACTTCCAATATCCCCACCATTACTTAAAATATAATGAACTGTGTATGCTAATCGGCCTATTGTTACTGTAATAATATTAATACAGAACAGTTACACACCTTCCATACCTTACCTTATCCTTAAGTGTGTTGAAACCGGTTCAAGCCGGAAAAAAAGACCTTGCTTATGCCTCATTCTTGCTGTTAGGCTACTGTGGGAGTGTTTTCGTGCGAAAGGCTATAGCCATAGGGCAATGTTTGTTTGAAACACCGAAAAAAAAGTTTTTACGAGGGTATTTGAACGTACCACATTTTCAAAAAGCAGCAGCTGGCAGAGGGACATCCGCTGGTCACATGTGGATACAGATAATACACTAGTGTAAATAAAGATGAAGGGTTGTTGCCATTAATTCTTCAATATTTTTTCTATACTTATTTATTAAAGTATTCTGAATGATATCCCATCTTCCAGTTTTATCATCTTATCTTAATTAAATCATGCTCTAGCTAAGATGATTTGTTGACTCATTTATTAGTTGACTCAGCAACAAATTCGATAAATGATTAATTATTTAAGTTTTCTGTGCCAATAAATTCAACATGTTTGTGTTTTAACCAAGGCTTTCTGTGTGTTAATTACTTTAGAAAGAAAAAAAATGCAATTTAATAAAACGCAAATCAATTTAATAATCACAAAGTGATTTATAATAAACATAATGTATATTATGTACAATAAATATATAATATACAATATAATCTAAAACGATTCAGGGCTCAAAACTAGATTCTGACAAGAGAATGGACATGAGATGGGCGACGCAGGGCTCGATATTGTTGATATTGTACCTGTGGTACAAATTTCCAACTCAATTTCAATTATGAACTTATAGAACCCCAAATGATATTGAGTAAACCTGGTGCTTTCCCGGGCCCCCCTGGAAGTCTATGACCTCTGTGCAGTTGACCCCTTTATCCGGTCAGTAATTCTGCCTTGACGAGCTGTGACCTGTTCACCTGCAGGAGGCACTAAACATTCACTCACTCCGCACCAAGTCAAACCCTTTGCTCTGCTTACCATTTGACCCCTCACTGGTTCCCATGTAGAACTGAACATGAGACTGGTTACTTGTTGGAGTTAAATTCAATTACTGGGGTGGATCTAAAAAGCTATATTACACTATTGTATGCTTCAGTGCCTAACGTGAACTAATAAAGCTGAAAATATCATATTTGAGATCTACAATATTTGTCACATTGTATACTGGTCACTACTATCCAGGCCAGTTATCATGTGTCTTGGGGTGTACAAGACACACAGACACAAACACAAAAATAAAATCTACAATATATAGGAAATTAGAACAGGTACAGGTCTTGTTGGTCCTTTGACAGAAAATTGTATGGGACTGGAATAGTCCTGAATGTTTAGCATGTCAAATATTTACTTTGCTTGGTCTGAGGCTCAAGAGCTGCAGGATGGCATGAGGGAAATTGAAACAGCTTGGTTGGAGCCATGGAGGTTGACTGAGGAAGGGGGTGCAGGTGGCTGCTTCAGGGATGTGGACTCAGGTAAACGCCTGTCCTGGTCCTGTGCTTAAACCAGTCTACAGGAACTTGATGGCAACCAGGCTGAACATATTCCAGACCAAACTTCTCTACAGTGCCTCTGCTAGAAAGATGAAGAGCAGGATACTTCTCACCCCCCAGTGCCTATTCCAAGACTGCATTGAGGTCTAGAATCAAAGCTGAAAGATAGCTGGAAGTCAAACACCTGGCTGCTTCAGATCCACCAGACATGGTAATTCTACCTCACCACCCCTGTCATCCCTTGAGTTTGAAACAGCTCTGAGGAAGCCCTTGTTCTAGTGACTCACTGAGCCTGATGGAAGTAGTAACCTTCATGCTGAGACGTCTCTCTGATGGGGATCCAAACAGGAACTTCAGCTCCTTTACCCTGAACATGGTTCAGCTGCACCATTCCTCCATGCCTGTACAAGATCCCACCTTCCACCTTAGGATCACTAAGGCAACCACACAGGATGTAAACCCACTGAATCTGCCATGCCTTCATCATAGAGGGATTAGAGAGAG